TTAAGGAGAATAATACCCATTACCCCTCTACCCCCATAGAAGGGGAAACATATCTTCCAAGGTAATCTCTTAAAGGTATCTGGCATGCTGGCCAGAACTGAGCAGGATTAGTTTTGCCATATCACTTTCATTTTTTAAATGGTTTTGTAGGAGATGACCAGGTTGAGCTCAAAGGAGGGGTCAAACTTTGTGCCCACAAGAGATCTAAGTGCAGCCCTCCTTGAATGCCTTAATTCCCACTCATTTCCTTTAACTGCTAGTAGCTTAGATTCTTGTAGAGAGCTTAAGTGTGCAATAAAACTTTATACTAATTTGAACTGCCAGAATCGCCTGATTTACCCAGCGCTTAAAAGAGTGGGTCTTAAGACAGTAGACACCACCCATCTCTAGCATCTCATTTGTATTTTTCCTACAAATGTTAGGGCACATTTACTTCAATGGAGCATGTAAACCATGAGTGTCCAAACTTTTGGCTTGCCTGGGGTTAACTGAGTGAGGAAGAACTATCTATTTATATAAAATATAATATATATATATATCACATTATAATGTTAAAAGTTTAAGAGCTTGTAGGACTGTATTACTAGTTATCCAGAACAGCATGCAGTCCCATAGGTTGGACATGTCTGCTGTAAAGGATATGAAGGGGTTTGTGACCACATTATAACAATACAGATTGAGGTAACATTTCAACAACATTGCCTGGCATGAAATATGGTGGGAAACGTCATGACATACATAAAACACAAGTACAGTTTTGATTGTACTGCTATAGCCATCATCTTGATGTTTTTGAATACGTTCTGTGGACAATCCTGGATAAATCTTCTAAAGGGCCAAGTGAAGCAAAATTGAACTGTTTGACATTTTCTTGTATCAGCATTTTTGTCTGTGTACCTGATTCTTATTAGAGCCAGAATTGACTGTGCTCTACAGCTAGTCTGCAGTAACTAGTGACAAAAAACACCTAGTCAGTTTCATCAGGTTATCTCCAGAATTATTGATGGGTGGGTGTGGTGGAGTATGTTGTTGCAATGTATGATTAGGTTTATACATTACTTTAAGATTTATTATTAGTAGGTCATTTGTGAGAGTCCAGTTATCTCTTATTAAATTAATGATGATTAAGCAAATAATGGGGTAGTATGATGAGAAAATGTTTACATGAATTTATTTTGTGCAAACCTCCCCTCCCCCATTTTTTTGCCATGCTCATTCTAATCAATAGCAGTCACATCTCTTGCAGGTCAATATTTGTGGGCCACTTGCCCAGCTCACAGATACTCATTAATGTTGCGGACAGCACATATCTTCATAGCAGAGTCATCCTGTCATTTACAGTCTTCTGGGGCAGCTGAACTTAGTCAAGATGAGCCATCTGGAAAGCTGCTTTTTCCCCCTCCTCTGGAATACAGACTCCCACCTGAACTTTTTAGCATGCATCGAAGAACAAATTTTGGAGGTGGCTGATCTACTGGGCTCCATTTGGTCCTCTGACTGCAGTGCTCCCCCCTTCCCTCTGACTGGAGGACTCTGGATCACCATGGCCAGAGAGAAGAGGTTCCCCTTTGGCACAACTGGTCTTTTCTTTGGGCGTATGTTGTATGAAAGCCATATATATGGCTTTCCCTTTCAGTCCTTGTATGCCATTTTGAGATGGTGGTTGCTATAGATCCAGCTCATGAAATCCCAAACCTGAGTGATTTTTGCAGAGGAGCAATAGGGTTGCTGTTTGGGTGATCAGAACTGGGGCGGAGCAGGACTCTCTGAGATTAGGTGGCTTAGGGGAAGGAAGAGGACTGATGCTCCCTTTCTCATCATTTGTTTCCAAGTCATTTGGAGCCAAAGAAAGAGATGCAGTCCTATCCACTACCACATCATATTGTCCCACTTCAAGAATGGAAGGCAAGTATGTGCTTTAGGGCTGCACCTTCTGCCGTATGGCTATTTCAAGGAGAAGAATTAGAGCAAACACCCTATATAGGAATGAGAACAGGGGTTGCAAAGTTCTAGAGTGATTACAACAGGAAGATGCTCTGCCCAAGCCTGGTTAAACCCTCCCCTCCCCCTACCTGTATGTGCTTTCCTTCTTTACCTGTACAATGTATATATAGATGTGTATTTCAAGCTTTTCTTCTGTTCAGGGTCTGAGTACAGTTATTTCTCTCAAAGAGAAATAAATAACTTGCTATTGGCCTTGCTATTGCTTCCCTCGACACATTTCTCTGCCTAAAGTGATGCTGTCAACCTTTCCTCCTTGAAAGGCTTATATTACAATTAACAAGGATGTTTTAAAAAGAAAAGAAAAGTTGCCACTTAACAATTATCTACTCCGGATGAATAATGGTTTCTGGCTTTTCAAATATAAAGAATGAGTGAGGAGCACTGACGTTGAAAAATGTACATGCACCCGGAAAAGTTTGAGTCACATACTTAAGTTATGGGGGAAATTATTTCTGAAGAAATGTTGCAAAAATAAAATATCTTTATTTGATATTATTTAAGCACATAGATTTTCAACAATTTCCATTAATAAGAGGACCTATTATGGAGATAATAAAAACAAAATATGTTCATAATGTGGACACCACTTTTGATGCCATTCGAAAAATGTGGAGGAAGATTGTGCAGATCAAAGTAGTGTTCTCTCTTGAAAATAATAACATTCTTTTCAATCTACTCTTCTAGGGGGAGGATTGTTTGTTAGATTTATGTAGCCACCCACCCATCCATACATGACTCTGAGTGGCTGAAGCCCAAGATCACATAATGTAGGCCAATATTTATCATCCTTGGCAGGACAGAGAACAGTGCTGGCTAGGGAATTCTGGGAGTTGTCTCTATACAGCAGTGTTTCTCAACCTTGGCAACTTGAAGATGTCCGGACTTCAACTCCCAGAATTCCCCAGCCAGCATTCACTGGCTGGGGAATTCTGGGAATTGAAGTCCAGACATCTTCAAGTTGCCAAGGTTGAGAAACACTGCTATACAGTATCTAAAGCTGCCAAGGTTAAAATCCTTGCTCCCTAGCAGCATTTCTTTTCAGCTACTGCAATGCCAGTAAGTATTTTAAAAGGCTATGAATATAGTTACAGTATCTGATGATCTCTGTACAATTTCACTAGGCCTGAAGGGATAACTGGCACAGCAAGAAAGATCGGGGCAAAATGATGAAAGCAGTGTCATGATATCATGATGCAAGCCAACCCTTTTTTGTGTGTGTGTGTGTTGGGACACCACACACAAGTACAAAAGGGTAATGCTTTCAGTGCTGCTTTTTCTGACAAAAACATGCTCCTGCCAATATTGGAAGAGTAGCATTTAAAATACATAAAATACTGAAGGATTCAGGAGAATGTGCTGCCAAGCCACCATCTGAAGGACTCTTTCAACTGTATTTTTAACCATTCAAATGAAAGAAAAACATGGCAGCCTGTCTCGCCAGTTTTGACTGTTTGTGCTTTCGGGTGGTTTCTAAGCTTGCTATGGGGTGGATGGGGCGAAGAGAGATAAAGGATTAGAAAGGAAATGGCACCTGGGACTATTTAGCCCTCTGCTTCATCAGAGAATTGACAGATGTACTGCTTCGTTTCCCATATCCCAAGCATGCACATACATATACATGAAGGTACTATTCAAATATCAGGCACGAAAATTCAACATGTTGTACCATACTGACCTGGTTTCCTTGGGAAATATTTTGCTGTGGTTGGTAATAAAAGATATTTTGGACTATGTCCCACTCAATGTCTGACATTAGCTATTCCAGCTTGGGTTCTAATTATTGAAATAGCTAGAGGATTCCGTGTTGCCCATTCCTGTTTTAAAAATTGAAATGTCTATCCTTTCTCAGATTAATGGTCTTGGTCACCACTTTTCATTTGCTAGTCTGGGCAAAAATGCCATGAATTCAGGCCAAAGTTGTTCCCCAGGCTTTGGCCTTCTAGAGGTTGGGGACCACCTATGAGGTAGAAAGTAGACCTTCAAATCAAGGGATCTGCCTTAATTAGAATTTGGAGCAAGCATTTTCCATTCAGGCCTCCTGTCTGTACTGTACCTCTCTTATCTCAGAAAACTCACTGTAATTTCTGGCTTATGTCTCATTCACTTACATAAACAAGAGGATTCTTAGAATTAAAAACATTTAGCATAACAGTTAAGGGTTTTTGTAAACAGAAACACAAATAAATATGTGCATAAATATACACCACAGTACCATATTAAACTAATTATAAACTCATTATTGTTTGCAGAATTTAAAAGAATTCTGGAGACGAGGTTCGGAGTAGAGTAATAAAAATTCTCTTTATTATCAAAAATCAAAGCTAATTTGAAAACGGTTTGCAAAGCGTTGGTGGGTCTCACCCTGACTTCACCTGAGTCACAAAGGAGAGCCACACCCACAATGAAAGTGAGACAGCAGTTATACCCTCCCTAACTCCTCCTACTCCCATATCAGCTAGCCTGATAGGGGCGGTCACAAACTAGTCAGCGACAGTAACGCCCTAACTATTACCTTATATAGAATTATGACATTTAACCAATCAACTTCTAACATTGTTTTTCTTTAACCAATTAAATGATTACAAAGTTCTCTTCTAAAACTCTCTCTTGGCTCCCTCTAGTGTTTATACAAAATATTAACTCTTTTTCAATTTCATTCCATCATTATGATTATTATATTGAAGTCAGCTTCCTAGCTCTCTAGCTCTGTGAGAATGTTTATAGTGATAGCAGTTTCAGTCTCTATGGCCTGATAGTGACTGCTACAAATTAGTTCTATTAGTTTTTCTGTGATGCCCTGGAGGGTTGGCAATGGGAGATCACTATTGGGGCGGGGGGGAGTCAACATCTTCTCTGTTCTTACATGACAGTGCAAGAACCAGCTATGTATGCAGGCTGAAGTGACAAAAGAGATAGTTGTAAATCAAGTTATCACATATCTTTGCAATCTGATCTGTACAAATGAACTGAAGGTTAAAAACACTTCCGAAAGTTGCCTATTTCTTCTGTTCACATAAGCCACAGACACATCCAAAACAGCCATTGATAATTTGGAGAGCAGCCAGGACCATTTCAACCATGCTGACGACTAGGAGGGAAGAGAAGAAATACACATTCCAGCCAACAATATTCTGTGGCTTGATGCAAACTGAATTCCAAAGGGAAGGATCATACAGGTAATTCTGAACCCTTAAAAGAAGCAGATTTTAAGTAAGTTGTAGAATTTTTTTTCTAAAGCAAAGTTACAAGGGGAGGGGAAGAATCCTTAATTAATAGTATTTTTCTGTATACATTTCTAAAATACTAAAACTTTATTAGCCTACTAAATATCCAGCACTTTGACTACTTCTATTGTCAACTAATCGGTTTCTTCCAGTGGTGAAATTCATTTTTTTTTTTTACTACCGGTTCTGTGGGCATGGCTTGGTGGGCGTGGCAGGGGAAGGATATTGCAAAATCTCCATTCCCACCCCACAGCTAGAAATGGTATTTGCTGGCTGTCTGAACTACTCAAAATTTCCGCTACTGGTTCTCCAGAACCTGTCAGAATCTGCTGAATTTCATCCTTGATTCCTTCCTAATTGCATTGCCTCATAGATATCTCTCTGCATTGACTTAGTAAGTTTGGCACAATAAATTTGAACCAAATATAATAATAGCACTGATTTACTGCCTTTATTTAGGGTTCTTTTAAATGTTCTTTAAAACTTTTTCCGTTTTCCATATTCCACTTCAACTGACCCTCCACCTCATCCTTCTCCCCACTTGTACCCTCCAGCTATATCATGGCCACCACTTCAAGAATGCTACCAGTATGGCTAAAATTTGGGGAATACTCTATTCTAAAACCTCAGGATAGTGCTGGATTGAAGTAAGCTGTCCCACGCAGATCTTCTATTTAAGTACTTGTCACTCATTTTGAATAAAAAACATGAGCCATTTCTAACGTGAAAATCTGTAGAGGAATTTGTCTGAAAACAAATTCATAATATATGTTCATATATTCTGTCTCTTCAGGCAATTATACACAAAGTGTCACCCCACAAAGCAAACTTTTGCAAGGAATGGTTTTCTGAACCTACCTAAAGGCTATCTGCAAGTTTGAATTATTTAAGCAAAGCTGCATCTAAAACAATATGTGCTAAGCAATATTTTAAGCTGGCCCATGAACTTCAGTCACCTTACCCATGGTTGAAGACGGGGTAGTCCATTTCAAGAAACGGGTAGCCCCACTGTTGCACCTTGTTGTGATTGAGGGTGGAATTATAGAGACACAGAGGCCCCTCCGTCAAGCCTGAACCAGACAAAATAAAACAGGTCGCTGATCCCAGGAGAGCCAATCCTGATAGCAGAATGGAAAGAAACATCTGTAGGCAAAAGAGGCACAGAAATTAACTTCAAATATACAAGACAATATCTATTATTACCTTCAGAGTTGTGAAGCGGTAAGATGGAGACTGGCTCTACAACATTTCAAGAAAAAAATAAATATGACACCTGTTACATTTCAGGTGCCATTTTTTTCTCAGCTTCAACTGCTCCTGGCAGGGGAGCAGAATGGAGAGAGAACATACAGTGTAGATTTAGATTTGAATTAGAGGAGGGATGTAGGAAACAGTTATAGAGCCAAGGTGGCGCAGTGGTTAAATGCAGCACTGCAGGCTACTGCTAGATCAGCAGGTCAGCGGTTCAAATCTCACCGGCTCAGGGTTGACTCAGCCTTCCATCCTTCCGAGGTGGGTAAAATGAGGACCCAGATTGTTGGGGGCAATATGCTGACTCTCTGTAAACCGCTTAGAGAGGCCTGAAGGCCTATGAAGCGGTATATAAGTCTACTGCTATTGCTATTGCTATTGCTAGATGGGGCTGATTTAGATTCATTTTTTTTAAAAAAAAACCTTCCTTGACAACAGGAGACTGTTAGCAGTGGAAGCAATTGCTGAGGATAGCATCAGGCTTTTCCCTTGTATATACTTTAGGAGAGGATAGGTAGACACTTATGGGTATGCTCTGCTTTGGATTCTTCTGCTGAATTGAGGACTGGACCTGAGCACAAAGATGGCCTCTTTCAGTTCTATGATTTTACAGTTTTATGGATTTCAGTCTTCAGGTCTTCACAAAGGCAAATAAAAATGATATCCTCCCTTTATTTATACTGCTGAAATTAAGACAGTAAGACAGAAGAGAACAGTAACCAGAAACAGATTTTTATGGAAAATGATGGGATGGAGAGGGGATGAATTTATGTGGGTTGTAGGGTGCCCTCTCAGCTTTGTCATGATGGAAATGTTCACTCCTAATTTAGGATTTAAGTCAAAGCTCTTTCATCATGTCTTCTTTAGTGCTGAAAAAAAGAGAGTACTGATAGAGACTGGGATTCTGTTTTCCTTTACTAGTGCGTCTCACTTACTTTGTCCATGTCATGTGGGAGAATTCACTGAAGAAAGCAATTATGTTTGGAGGAGTTAGCAGTAATAGGATAACAGGCCGTCAAAGAACATTATGGCTAAACACTGGCAAAACTGACACCAGCCAAAGCATAGAAAAACTCAGAGGAATAGTGCAAGGTTGGAAGATGTGGAGTCAGACTTAACTGAACAGATAATATCATCCCCATTCCTTTACTAGTGATATAACCACAGCAATTGAGGTAATTGGAACAAACAATGTTAAAGAATGTGTCCTTGTGGAGTTTTGTTCAGGATTCTTTTTATTTTCTAGAATAACCTCTTGATTTTTAAGAAACAAAAAAAGGAACAACACAAACAACTTCCATTTGAAAACTAAGGACTTTATGTAGGGAAGGAAAAGTTGGCCCTGAAAGACCAGAGTCTAATTTTCACTCAGGTGTAATGGATAACCATGAAGTCCAGGCAATTGTTCTCTCTCAGCCTAATCACTCTCATAGATACATTATGAAGCTAAAATGAGGCAATCTCCTTCTATATTCACCATCCTTGATGCCTTGGGGTACATGCAAAATATAAATGCATAAAATCTGGCTTATATATTTACTGCAGGATATAGCTTCACAGTATCATGAAATAGAATAGATGTGCTATATTTTACTTTTCTACTATATCCATGAATCTAGAACAAGGCTAATGAAAACAAAGCAGACGATATTATTCTTAGGATGCTTCTTTTCTCTGAGGGTGTAACTATTTAAGTTCTCTATTGCTTTTTTCAACTATGGGAATCATTTCTGACATAGAGTGAGAATTTTCCCCAAGATCTACTAATTAAAACGAAAGTTTTTGTCCACAGAAAGAGTCATCAACTACATCTCTCTTACCTTACAGCAAGTTCCTGAGCTGCTGAAGTACTTCCACCTCCATCCAATACCTGTGATCTGAATTGCAGCAGGAAAAACCTACAAGAACGTAGTTTGAATTGAACAGTATTCTCTAGTGCCCTACAGAGTTTATAAAGGATATTGTTTTGCGAAGTTATTATTAAGGGTCGTCACAAAGTCACCTAAATGTTTAGACTGGATTTGGCGTTTTTCACCCTTGTTATTACTATGTGAGACCCTCTTATATTAATTATTCATTTGTTCTTTTTCCTTTTCCTGGAGTCAAACACAGGAAACCCCTCCTACTTTAATCTCAGTAGAAAGAACCCTGTGAGTAGGAAAAGCTAGAAGATTGTAAGTAATTTAAAAGTAATGCATGAGCATCCAGGACTGAGTATGAGTCTCCCCAGTCTTAGCCCAACAACTTTACCACCTCTTAGTTCTTCATATTTTCTCTTAAGACAGAGTTGCATAGCCCTATAATGACAGAGTGGTCATACTTAACATGCTTTGTTAGAGCAAATCTTTTAAGAATAACTTTAACCATTGTCCATTTCTAAGCTATGATAGAAATGTTTACATTTCTGTTCTAGCCAAATATACCATCCAACAAAAAGGTTATTAAGAAAACAATAAAATATACATGTATGCACGCATATACACAATATGCATCAATTATTTCCCACAGATTCTTGGGCAGGATATATTTAAAAAATATCTACTTACCAGCAGGCCTCCTCCCCACACCCCTGGCATTAGCATTGCCCTCTTGGATATTTGGCCCAGGCTTAGGTAACACCATTCCCAATTGGGAAAGAGTAGGAGAATATTAGCAGTAATGGAAAGAAAGCCCAAGATAAGGAGGCATGGGCCCAGGATCCGAGTACAAGTCCCCACACACATTGCAGAAGAGATTCCTGGGGGGGAAATGAAATAGAGGGAAAAAATAACGTCCTTCCTTGTCCTCAAGAGGTTGAATCCTGGAGTAGTAAGCATGCTAACTGAGGGTAAAGACAGTGATAATTCAAGATGCTGCTAGTCTATGATACGTTTCTGATCTAAATTGCACCTACCAAACCGTTACGAATCTAGTTACTGGCAGCACTCAAGCTTCCTAACATGTTCTGCTTGCACTGGTTTATACCAGAAGGAAGCAACTTTTTGCCCCTATACAGAGCACCTTGTCTAAGTTCCTTTGAAGCTTGCTTAGCACCAGATCATTTGTACATTGAAAATATCAATTGAAAGGACTGTATTGTAAACAGGAGATAGGTGGTGTCGTATCTTTAGTACCTATCGTCTGTTTACAACACAGTCCTTTCAGCAATTCCAAGAAGGCTTCACACACATTTTCACACTTTAAACCTGAGGGCATAGATAAACCTCCAAGTGGCCTCAAGGATTCTTAGAATGAGTGCTAACAACCAAATGACTGCAAGGAATATAAATTCTTCCATCCTCCACCATAACTGAAGAAGCTTCTTGGATGAGAAGTCTTCAAGGAAAAACAAAGTCCAGTTGAAAAAGCACTTTTGGGGACAACCAAACAAATTCCCATCCTCCTGTTCACATTCTCTCACAGTGGAGCCCTCATGTGGTTCTCATGTATAAAAGATCACTGGGGCAGGTATTCTCCATCACAACTTGTAGGAAAATATTGATGGTTAGCCACAACATCCATAGAAGCAGCATCTATAGCTAACCATAATATGTAAGCCTTTGGTCTTTATTGTAAACAGTTTCTTTGATTTTGCTCAGTTACCTTGAAATGGACCAGCAAGTTCTTTATAGAATGGCATTGCTTTCTACAATGCCTTAACTTGTTACCAGTCTTTTATGCTTTTAAATATTATTTAAAGGGATAAAAATAATATTTCAATACTCCAAATAGCCCTGTATTCCCCTGTCAAAGTGCAGTGCTTGGGAATAAAGTCTGTTTCCTGCATAGCAATGAAGCACAAAATTACAGTATTTTGAATTCACCTAGAAAAGTCTTGAACCCCATTAGGAAGGGAAATGACAAAGCAAACCACAGTTAGGTTTTCTATGTAGAAGGTTTTTGATTTCCTCTCCCCCCAAACAAATTAATCAGAACTTTGAAAATTCCTTCTTCAGAAGTGTTCTACTTACTTTTGATAAACTGAATGCAGATGAAAGGAGTTGTAGGGCTACTTAGAGCTTCTTCCCACCAATGGTTGCTGCCAGTATGAGTAGAGGTGATAGAAGTTTTTCTAGACAAGGCATCAAAAATTGATGACTATTTATAGCCTTCAGAATACAGGAAAGCATCCGTGCCCTGTTTTTCTTTATCCCTAGATGGTTAGGTTTGAACTTCCCAATTTTTACACGTCAATCACATGCTGTATCTCCCCACTATGGAAACTTAATGTAATTTTAGGAGGAAAAAAATCCTTGGTCGGAAATGAGTAATAAAGTTTAAAGCTTGTGTGAGGAACTGGCATATGTATAGGAACTCATATGCAATACTCTTGTAACACACCACATACTTAAAAATATAATTGCTGAATTATCGTAGCCATATCATTCTGTTGCAATTAAATTATAAAGAGACTGATACCATCTAATAATACTTAAGACCAATGTTCCCTCTAATTTTTTTTCAGTGTGAGCGGAAAAGTATAGTGTTTGAGCGGCACATTTTCATGNGAAGCAGTCGGCGAGAGCTTAAATGGACTCCAGAGGATGGCAGAGGACAGGAAGGCCTGGAGAAACATTGTCCATGGGGTCGCAATGGGTCGGACACGACTTCGCAACTAACCACAACAAAAGGATTTCGAATTTTGAAAGCAGAGATTTTCAGGAAAGGGACTTTTGCTATCTTAATCTGACCCTCTTCTACCTTTATCTTTATCTTTTGGAAATTTTATACTGTTGCCTATTCGCACATGGCAACTCTTTGCTTTTCTTTAATGGTGTTGGCACCATTTTGACAATATTTCCAGAATATTTGACCAGCATGGTTAGTCTGTGTTATACTCAGAGCTTCTCCACTGAACATCCATCCACCAATCCGTTTCCTGTTTCTGCCTTACCTCCTGATGATGCAACCTCCACGCCACATCAATGCGATCGCGCCATAATTTAGGGTCCAGCCAAACTCCTTGGCGGCTTGTCTCAGTAACATGAAGCCCTGGGCGTAGGAAATGATCTTGGAGGCATAGAGGGCCTATACCAAGGACACAAAGTTAAGAGAATGGCATGCACCACAATATTAACCAGGATGACTTTTAAAACCACGATGATCCATCACCAAAAATAAAGGAGTTTGATTCTGATTGTAACCACCGTTAGCAAAGCAAGCCATCAATGAACCCCTTGCACATCTTACTAAGAAATAATTAATTCACAAATTATGCTGAATAAATCTCCCACCACTCCCACAAACTGGCCACTTTATGATTCAGAGTCGTGATGGCGAACCCATGGCATGTGTGCCACAGGTGGGTGGCAAGCAGAGCCCTCTCTGCAGACACGCCAGCCATCGCCCCAGCCCAGCTTCATCACGCATGCTCACGCACCTCCAGCTGGTCTTTGGGTCTCTGCCATACATGCGTGGGGGCAGCATGTATGCAGGGGATGCACATGTGCATGTGTCGGGGGAGCGGCGCTCACATTGCATTTTTGTCACATTGCATTTTCACACAGCGAACACCCCGTTTTGGCTTGGGGTGGGCTCACCCTGATTTGTGCCTGGAAGGCCTCCTGCACCAACCTGGAAGCCAAAAATGGGTGAAGGGGGGGCACATGCACAGGGCGGGTGAGCACATGAAGGTCATGCGTGCATGCATGCACAGGGGGTTGCATGCGTGGGGTGCATGTGCGGGATGCACATGCATTGTATTATGGATGTGAGTGCGTACGCACGCTGTCGCATGCTTTCGCATGCTTTCGGCACGCGACGACAAAAAAGGTTTAGCCATCACTGATTCAGAGTGATGGCAAACCAAGATTTAGGAAGGACCTGAGCAAAAATTAGGTCTGGAGTATCTTCAGATCATAAAACAGTTTGGCCTATAAAACAAAACATCTTGCTGAGCCACAGACCAGACCATCTTTCCTCAATGATGCCCTTCAGATATTTGTAATCCTTACTTCACTCCACCACTAGATGGCAGCAGAGAACTGCAGAAACCTCAATTACTGCCACCATGTGGTCCTCCAGAGTTTTGCAACTGAGATAAAATACGCCTCTTAATTTTCTACAAATTATGGAATCAATGAGTTATGGAGCTACGTCGAGGGAGGCTGGTCTGGTTTGTTTTCGAGCCCAAGCCCCTCTTACAATCACTTTCATAAAATACCAAAGTTCCAACAAGGGATCAAGCCCGCTGATAGGAAAAACCGTACACTCACTTTACGAATGTCCTCCAGAAACGCTGCCTTATTCCCACTGAACGCCTGTGCTTTGGGACCACTCAAAAGTTTGCTGGCTTGCACCCTTTCGTCCTTGAGCGAAGACAAACACCGGGCAAAAACAGCCTCTCCTTTTTGAAAGGAAAAAAACAACAACAATCCAAATTATTCCTGACCGCTCCAAGTTAAAAGGACAAAACTCCGCTGCACGCATGAAACAGAACAGAGCCGCATTTCAAAAGCAACTCGATCGACTCTACTAAGGAAAAGCATGAGAAGACATTGGAAATACCAGTGAGATGGATAATCAAATTGCAAACAATAACAAATGTGCTTTCTTGCTAAAAAACTTTTTCAGGTTCATTTGCAGCTATGTTGTCGCAGCAAAAGGGAAATAAAAGCGAGCTTAATCTTTCCTATAAATTTGGAATAATAACAACAACAACAACCTCCAGTTAAAAAATATATACACACACAGAGTGTTTACAGCAGGGATCCCCAACCATTGTGCCACGGATCGGTAGCGGTCCGTGGCCTGTTAAGAACCAGGCTGCACAGCTGGAGATGAGCAGCAGGGGGCGACACTGTAAATGTGTGGGATCTAGCTTGTGCACTCCTCCTTCCCACTCATCTCCAAATTATCTTCCACTAAACCGGTATCAAACAGGTTTACACCACCACAGGCTCAACCATGTCATTTAAAAGCTAAGCTGGCTCTTCCAGATTAAGCTCAGCTGTTTTTTCAATTTGGTTAGCTTTCGTTGACTTAGCCTTTCAAGCATGTGATGTTTTATGTGGTGCATCAATGTAAGGGAGCCATTCAGGACCCAATGCTTAATTGTGTCTGCTGTGGCCCATCAGCAGAGCTGGCAGCAGTGTCGGACAGTGAGGAGGTTGGGGAGGGACATGGGCCAGTCCTGGAGTCTGGGGAAGGCTCTGTGTCGGAGACAGAGAGGGGGCCAGAGCCGTCTGATAGTCATCAGCTGTCTTCGGAGTCAGACATCAGTGNGAGAGAGAGAGAGAGAGAGAGAGAGAGAGAGAGAGAAAGAGAGAGAGAGAAGCTATTTGAAGCAGGACAACTGTTTTGAATCTGGCATGGATTTCAGTGTCTTCTAAATAAACCTCCTTAACTCCTCCATAACTCAAATATGTATTTTCCTGGAACTAGGCAACTACAGGAAGTGCAATATAGCACTACATAATCTGGATGCTGTTATTGATAAGAGCCTATGGTCCAGCGGTGGGTTGCCAAAAAATTTTACTACTGATTGAGCGTGGTCCCACTGTGCATGTGTAGAAGCGTCCAGGCAGGTGAGCGGAGGCTCTCACCACCACTACCACTGGCTCACCCGATCCGGGCCGAATCAGCAGCAACCCACCTCTGCTGTGGTCACATCAGGTCAAACTAGTATCTTTTGGAAGTAGGCAGAAGAGAACTCTTAATAGTTCCATTTAATTTAGCTGAAATCAGTTCCTAAGTGGACAACAAATAGGAAATAGCATCTCTGAAGCACAACATGAAATAGTATTGCTGTCAGCTTGGTTAAGAAAATGGAGAAAAAGGTGCAGCTTTAAGGAGCTGCTGACGAAGTGAATATAGCATAGCCATGCCAGATTTAAAAAGTATAGCATAGCCATGCCAGATTTGGTTCTACTTTGGAACCAAATAGCTACATATCATAATAAAACCCAAAATAATTGTGAAGCACTCTAGAAAGATTTCTTTAATCTGCATTAATAGTCAACCAAATGGCAGATGCAGTTTAATTTAAGAAAGCTTTTTTATTAAAAAAAAATAATCTAACCACATATACATTGACAGCATTTAACTTGTAACTAACTAGGAAAAAGATCTTCAGGTTGCAATGGATAACTCAGTGAAATGTTGATTCTGTGCAGCAGCTGTGAACAAGACAAATTTCATGCAAGGGCTCATTAGCAAAGGACTGGAAATAAAAATGCCCATAATGTAATACCTTTGTAAAATGTAAGATACACCTACAGAATTCAGATTTGTGAAATGTTTTATACCCTTGATGGCATGCCAGAGGTGGCACCCAGAGCCTTCTCTGTGAGCACGTGTGCAGGCGCCAGCTGTTCTTCAGGTTTCCTTTTTTTTGTATATTTTTTTATTTTTAGACAGACAAAGACAAACAACATACAACATAAAACCATCATCAATTACATATAGCATGTCGTTTGGTTACAAGGATTTGTGCATCACCGCTTTCAATTATATATAAAGTCTCAGATTGTTCATCAGGTATACATAGGTTCATTGTTCTCATTGTAGATCATATGTTCAGCTACAATTGTTATTCCTTCATTTTATACAAATATTCTAGAGATTAGATTCATATATATATAATCAACATTCCATTGCATAATTATTAATCTATTTAATAATAATATGTCTTTAAGGTATCACCTATCTCATTCTATTGTTCTTACAATATGAAAGAATACTTATGCATCACCACTTTCAGTTGTATATAAAATCACAGATTGTCCATCAAATATACATAGGTATGTTGTTATCATTATACATCATATGTTCAACTACAATTGTTATTCCTTCATTTTAAACAAAATGTTCTAGATATTCGATTCATATATATATATATATATATACCAATATTCCATTGC